TTATGTAAAAATAAGAAAAGAATTCCAGTGAAGAAGCACTTTTACAACAGGTATGTAGAGAGACGTTTGGAGGACCTTAGAAAAAGATACAGGGAATTTTAGTCTTTGAGAAAGGAAGTTATTTATTTAATAAACATTGATTACCTACTCTATTCCAGGAATTGTAGGCATTGGTAACACTTTAGGGAGAAAACCAAAGATCTCTGCTCCTGCAAAGTATGAAGTGTAGCATAACTGATTGCCTCCTTTAATCCACTTTGCCCAGAGCAGGACACTAGATAGTGTGTGTGAGTTGAGCTCATGTAACTAAGGTGACCCATGCACAAGTCAGGAGACCAAGAATAAGTCCAAGTGGCTCCAAAGTCCATGCTCCTAAGTAGCCAGTTGCTTTTACCATTTCCAATTTACCTTTTTCTGGCTCAAGGTTTTATTAATCTGGGTCCTTCATAGTTTGTATCTAAATGGAGTTGGCTGGCGTTTTCCCCGTAGAAGTCTTCATCTAGTTGGGCTATGTTTTTAATTACTTGTCTCTATTCCTTCTCTATGAAACTTACAGTAGCAAATATTCAGGCAAAGAATGGTATAAATGAGATAGGCATTATAAGAATGTGGATTTCATATCCCATGGGATAAAGTGGCCCCAAAGCCAGGCAACGTCAACATGCAATCATGGGCTTCTTTCTCTGGTCAAAGCCAAACAGGTATGGAAAATTATAGCTCTAGCAAGGCACACACAGAGCACTAATGGCACTCTGCTTTCACAATGGGCTTGCACAACACAAAAGTGAGAAATTCTCACATAACTCAGGAGCATCTCTGGGTGGAAAAATATGATACTTTTCTAGCCAGAATCACGCAAGAAGGTGCAAATGTAGCATATGTGTCTGGAAAAAGTCATCTATTGGTGAGCGAAGCTTACATGGTAGACCTTTCCAGCAGACATCTGTCAGATACACTGCTAGTGGGGAGACTCCTTGTGAAAATTAATGACATATTAATTAATTAAATATTCTTCAATTAATTTTGGATATTAATTTCACTAAATTAAAAAGTGATATATTTTCCTACTGCTAATAATAGAACTCTCTCAAGGCTTTTATGCACTTTATACTTTTTAAAACTCTTTCTTCCATTGGTGTTACACAGAGGGTTGCAGACCTCAGGAGTTTTTTTCCCCCCTGTGGTCCTAACAAATTGGCAGAGAAGAGCCTAGAACCTAGATTGACTGAGTAACAATGATCAATCTCTGGACATTCATTCAAATTATTTTTTATTTCATCCTAACCAAAGTAGATAAAGAAAACACCTTTGTGTGCATAAATCAAATAAGAACTGAAATTCAGGTATAAAGAATAAGTCAACGATAAAAACATTTAACAAAACAAACAAACACTGAATCCCATCCAAAACTGAAGTAACTAGGAAAAGGAAGGAAAGAGGTTGAAAGAAAAAGAATTAAAATGAATTAATCCATGGGCCAGCTCCCCCACAAAGAATGCAATCATTGCGTACTACAAACATGTACCAGTAAAAATTTTCAAAAATTAAAAATTCTCTCTTCCTGCAAGTGATATAATGTTAGAAATAGAAATTATAGAAAATCTTAATAAATGTAATTATATATCTAAAAAAAGAGATAACCAAGTACACAAAATCTACTGAGGTTATATCACAAATATACAGGTGAAGAGAAGGATATGGATACCATAAGGATAAGAATACAAAATGAAATACACAGTAAATTGCCAGATAAATCCAGGTATACAGAGCAGAAGTAACTGATTTTATATAAGACTGAGAAAATGTCCACCCAGTTACAGACAGAACTATCTGTAAAAACTGACTGGAAGAACAACATCACAGGAGGTTATATAGTTTTATGGTTTCTTATGGGATTACATCACAGAATTACCTTGAATGCTTGAAAAACTAGTCTTGTGGTTTACTCAGGAGTTGGGACAAGCCAAGTGTACTGGTGCAGGCCTGTGATCCCCGCATGCTCAGAGGCTGACACAGGACTGCCAAGTTTGAGCCCGGTCTAAAGCAACTTAGCAAAACTGCCTCTCAGAAGAGAAAATATAAAAAGAGCAGGGAAGTAGTTTAGCCCAAATACTGGATCAATCCTCAGGATAGTAAAAAATTTTAAAAAGAGAAAAAGAAGAAGAAAGAGGAGGAAGAGCAGTTCTGAACACAGACTACTAGAATCTGATTTTGTTTTGTTTTGTTTTGTTGAGACAGGGTCTCACTGCGTGGTTTAGGCTGGCCTTGGGCTCACTTTGTAGTCCAGGTTGGTCTCTAACTTGTAAGGATCCTCCTGCCTCAACCTCCTGAATGCTGGGATTATAGGAGTGTACCACCACCCCTCTCTGGAGTCTGATTTTTAACAAGTTCTATTTTAAACCATGTTCTAAAATCTTCATAAGCCAAAATGTGGTTCATGAGGCAGGATCAGCATCTCCAGGAAGTCTCTTGGGAAAGCAGTCTGAGGCCTAATCCCAGGCTTACTGGGTCAAAATCTCTGAACTTAAGCAAGATTCCTAGGTGGCATCTTTACATCTCACATTAAGTTTACAGCATCCTTCTGCTTCTATGCACACACGTGAGAAGCAAGTCACATGACCTGAGCCACTCTTCGTGAATCAGTGAAAAGCCTAAGAACTGTGTCTGCAGTTGCTTCCTTCCTGGTCTCATGCTGTGGAGTTGCATCAGGCTCTGATGAAGAATGACAAAATCTTTAATTATAAATGTCTCCTAAAGTGTACTGAGGCTCAGCATCTAATCCATGGGCCATCAGGTATTTCAAGTGTTTCCAAAATTCACCTCCAAAATATTTTTGCAAGCAAAACGTGATTCCCTATCTTTGAATTTCCAATAATTCCCCCATAATTCATAGTTTTTCAAAAACAAGCATTTGAAAATCCTGTCTGCTAGTTTTCTTTGCCCTTCTAAGATCATTAATTCATGAGGATCACTATACTCGGGTATATTTCCAGTTGTGGGAAAAGTTACACTGTATAGCCTTGTCTTTGATCACCTTCTAAGTTTGTTTGAACCAGTTTTACCACTTGGAATTGGGGCTGTTTCGAATTTTGTCCATCTCTGGCTTCTTGCTTACAAGAGCATTGTAGGCTCTTTCTTAACTAAGGGGAACTCTTCCAGCCACCTTTCCGGAGTTAGCAAAGAAGACATTCTCCTGTCCAACTCTCACCATATACCTTCTTATGGTTTATCCTCAAATGCCCTTTGAAAGCCTCATGCAACCATAGAGATGGCCAAATCTAGCATTTTGAGATTGGTTCCTCGTCTAGTGCTTGGACTAGTGATATGAGCGCAGCACCCGCCCAGGGGTGGAGCATACAGCGTAACTACAGGAAAAAGGCGAGTCTTTTTGCTCTTTTGCTGTTCACCTTCTGTTTGCAGCAGCCATGAACTGCTGTCCCTCAGCCCTGCCATTTTGTCCTGGAGCCAACTGAGTATGGACTGCAGCCTCCAATCTGTGAGAAATAAACTTTCTCTCCCCTAACTTTGGGTGTCAGGTATTTTTTTCTCAAAAACAAGAGAGAAAAATAACTAAGACATACCTGAAAGTAATACAGCTATATAATGTTACAACATAAAAGTGATTTTTTTTCATACAAATAACTTTTAAAGAAAAAATAACTTTCAATCCTAAATTCATGATCCAGATACATAGAAAATTAGATCCTCATAGAAGTTTCCACTTCATCTTTCCTGATCGTTACATTAAAAATGTTTAGTGTTATTATAGGCTTCATAACATTTGAATGTTCATATATTACTTCACTATGAATTGATTTTATGCATATCATCAATCTGCTACTCTTGGTATATAATTAACTTCTAATTCTTCATTATTAGAAATAAACTCCAAAAGCTAATCTTAGGGATTTCAAGATTGGATCCAACTATTCGATAGTTACTGTTAAAGAAGGGAATACTGGCTGGTGGCCAGTATTACATTTCTAAATTCCTTCCATAAAACTATTTGTGAGCATGTACCATGAATTACAAAGGGTGACAGGCAAAAAAGTTTTAAACAAACCTATTCTTATTTTAGAAATAAGTTAAAAGCATATGTTCAACTAATTGATGCAAATTGTCACTTGTCATTTTCATCTTGGAGTTATATGTTGAATGTTAAAATTGTTAAAAATTTACAGTGAAATCATGTTGTTATTAATTCCCCTCAAAATATCCCCCTTGTTTCAAACACACTTATCCTGACATTCTTGCCACTCTCTGAAGCATTTCTATACATCTTCTTTTATGAGTACCTTTCCTTGGTAACCCAGATTCAAAATATGAGCATTTCTGTCACATAAAAACATTATGATTTGTTGTCATCCACCTTATTCATGGATCTGCCATTGTGATTCTTCCCCAAAGTCAAAATGAAAGGTTGGTGTTTTGAGTTTATTCTTTTAATATAATAATTTTTAACTTTAAACATATACTTTATTTTCCAATCACATCTTCTATGCCTCTGAATTAATGTACATCTAAATGTGGTATTAATTATGTATGAGGTTCACTTCATTGCACTTAAAGTTGCTGAGTTACAAACCATCCTGAGTTACAGAATTGCCCTGTCCCTGCCTATGGCTACACTGGAGTAGAACTGAATAAACTTAGCTATAAAGCATAATATTTTCATACTCCTGCAATTTGATTACGTTCTCACATTCTGTTCTAGAGTATCAAAACTGTATCCAACACTGAGACCCAGCTTAGTCTCTGTTTAGATCACTCTTGGTCCACCACTTCTATTAGAGCTACCTCAATAGCTATAACTTTTGTGTCTTCTACTGTGTTGAAATGACTATCACTGTCCAAAGTCTGCACTCACTTTTTGGGGGCATGAGAAAGACTGAAGAAGCCTCACTGAATGGCCCAACTTTGAAGGCAGAGTCTTCTCTGATGGTGAGAAAAGCACATTCCAAGTTCTGGGGCAAGCAGAGAGGCAGAAAACCTAGGGAAAACATAACCATTTTTGTTTTGCTAAATAAAATAAATAGGAAATGGAGAAAACAGTGTTTAAAAGATGAATATTAGGAAGAAATCATAGACGACGTTGAAGAGCAGAACAAAGAGTTTAGAAAAGAAGCCAGCTCAAACTGTAACAAATCAAAACCAAGTTCATGCTCCATGATGATTCAGCAGGGTAAACTGAAGGAAGAGACAAGACCTAGACTAAGGCACTACAAGCACAGAGCCATTGGGGTGAACAGGGGCTGAAGCCTGATTCAAGAGGGAGCAGTGAGAGGGAGAGGAGGACAGGGTGCGGTCCAGCAGAAAGGAGCAGGAACTTGCTGGGTGACAGGGACAGGGAAAGTTGTTCTGGCCCGTGGTTACCAAGTCGATCCACTTCTTGAGCTTTAAGCCCTAAACAAACTCTCCTTTATCACAGTACTTTCTATCTCTGATCACAAGGCTGTCTTCAAAAGCAGGAGGCTAGGAGTATAGCTCCGTGGTCGTGTGCAGGACAAGAAAGAATGCAAGAAGAAGAGAAAGAGATGGGAGAGAGGAGAGGAGAGAGAGAGATGGAGACAGAAGTAGAAAAAAAGAAAAAAAGGGCTCAGGGAAATACATTGGTCTCAAGTATAACGCAAGTTAAAACAATTGTTTGAATTGTGACGTTAATGCTACAGTGGAAATGGATGTGCATCACTGCCTTTATTCTGTGCTGAACAGATGATGTGCTTGCTTTGTTTTGTTTTGTGACTAGAGGCTTCCAAGCTCTGAATGTGGCCACCACTATTTGTAAACATCTGGCCAGGTTCCGGTGATGAGGTTACCTGTCCCCATCTTTCCCAGGAAGGAGGAAAAGCCCAGTGGGGAAGACATTTGGGGTGCTATCCACCTTCTTGGAGAAGCAAAGTTATAAAAGAGAATCAGAGTAACTGGGCCTATTGTAGGTATAAGGTGAGATGAAAAGGCTTCATCAGAGATGATGGTAGTACCTTCATTTACAATTAAAACCTCTGAGTAATTTGGAAATAACAAGTCAAACATAAAATATGTCCACTCACGACCTAGTAATTTCACTTTAAGTGCTTATGGTAGAGCAGGGCACACAATTTGTTAGTGTTATGTATGTAAGTACATAGAAATATTTTTAAAATATGTAAAAAGATATCTACCAAAATGGTACTTATAATAACCAAAAGGTGGGAGGAACCCAGATGTACATTATATAGAATAACTTGGTGAGTACTGATCCAGCCAGGCCAACCAAAATTCTTGAAGCAGTTAGAAAGAATGAGCTGTACTTGTTTCTACTAACAAGAAAAGATTTATAAGACCTGGGTGAAAGAAATTACCGAATCCACAATGATACACAAAAGATGACAGCTGTGTTTGAGATTTACCAATGGGGAAGGGCCTGGCAATATGCACAAATCTGATAACATAGGTCACATCAAGGGAAGTCAAAAAAAGCAAATGGAATTGACAATAGCCACAGGGAGAGCTGCTTGATCATCTACATTTCGGGTGGTTCTGGAGGTGCATGCCAATCTAGCGCTCTACCAGTGAGCTACACCCCAAATCCCTCGCTCCCTTATTTTTAAGCAAAGTCTCACTAATTTGCCCAGGTTGTCTTAAACTTGTGATCATGCTACCTCAGTCCACTGAGTAGCAATCATCCTGCTGGGTTCCTCTGTTTTATGTTTACAAGGAGAATATCTGGCAATTGCTTTCGGTTCCAAATTTTATTTGAGAATTTAAAATTTCCTAGTCCTAATTAGCTGTGAATGGAAGAGGGGGTCTTATGAGTGACTGAACCCAGGACCCTCCCATTGAGCTATATATCTACCCCATTATTTTTATTTTTATTTTGAAACAGGTTCTTACTGAGTTGCTAAATTGTGCAGACTGGGCTTGAACTCATAATCCTCCTGCTTCAGCCTCTCAAAGTACTGGGGTTACAAGCATATACCAACATAATCATCTTGATCTTATACTAAAGACTTCTTTCCACCAAATTGACTGGTTTTTTTTTTTTTTTAAGAAGTTCTGGAGATGTACATAACTCAGTGACAGAGTGCTTGTCTAGCATGTGTGAGGACCTGAGTTTGCTTCCCAGAACTTTTTAAATATATATATTTAAAAAGTCAATGACATACTGTTTTAATCCAAAATGTAATGACCGGAGTATAGATATACAGACAGAAACCCAGGAAGGCCAACCAATCTCCTTTAGCCAATCACCATAAAAGCTGCCAGCTTTGTGTAATATATCAAGGCAATTCTGCCCAGTATAATCTTGGGGCCCCTATCAGAGAAATAATGTCACAAGATAAATAGCAAGTGGCATGGCACTGAACTGATGCAGAAAAAGCTCTATGTCTGCTGCATCCTAAAAGGAGTGTGACTTAGATGAGACCCATGAATGAAACTGGCTTCAAATCTAGAGTGAAATTTATCAATGAAATATTATTCTAGGCTCAGAATTCAGTGGAGGTGCTTTGCTTTCTAAATTAGAAATTCTATCTATGGTACATTCGTATTGGTTCCAGTCTTCCAGAACAGGGGGGAACTAATGCAATTGGACTATAGTTTAGCAGATAATGATTATCGAGATCCGCTTTGGCTCCCTTGGGACTTTTTCACTTAAGAACCTGATAGTGTTTGGGGTAAAGTGTCAGAAGAGGGATTCTAGCACATGACAGCAAAGAAAATATTAACCTTCTATGTTGCCAAGAGTTGGATTAATCTTTCAACCAATGTAAAAGGGAATCAGAACATGAAGACCGAAGGACAGTTTAAATATTCTGAAAAGTACCAACCTAGCTCTCCCTGAAGCATGAGCCTTCGGTGGGTTCCAGTGACTCTGGCCACATTGCTCTGGTTCTTTAACTTAGGAGAAGTCACATTTTAATGTGTCATTTTATGTTTTGTGTATCTGAGGGCAGTAATTGCTACCAAAACTGGTTTTGAAAACTATTTCTCAAAGCCTGAGGTTGCACATGCAATGTGCGTGGCTGAGCACGTGAGAGTCACTCTGGGAAAAGAGTGTTTAATGAGTAACTTCACAGTAGAAGGCCTGGAAAACTTCCTCTAAACATTAGACCTGGACTCTCCCTCTGAAATATATTAACAGCATCCAGAAGACTCAAAGGCGCTGGCGACCACACTAGGCTGATGCAGGACGTGAGGTTTCCATTCCGGCGCGGGGCACGGTGGTTGCACCCACAGGATCCCTCCCCCACCAAGACAGCATTTGGAGATCACATTTGACCAGAGCTGTACTGGAGAACAAGATTGATAAAGCCAAGCAATCGGAGTTCTTTCCTATGCATGAAATTGATTAAATGCTTCACTAAATGGCTTATAAATTTGCTTCTCATATTTCTGTCACCCACTGAAAAGATTACAGAAAGTCTGCATATAACCATGTTGTATACAATACCAAATTACAAAAGGTTGTAAAAACTAATGTTTTGTTTAAAGTTTTGAGCAGGACCATATGCCTCCAGTGACCTTCAGTAAGCTATTTTAATTCAAAACATTTCAAAGAATATAAAGGGGAGAAATATTCAACTACATAACAAACCAGAGCGGCAGTGAGTAGCTCTCTGTTTGCTCTGGTGAATGCCTTCCTACAGGGTGGAGAGAGACTTCCATCAAATGCCTTGTGCCCGGAAAGCCGAGATGCATATGTGGTGTCTACAGTCCTATGTTTACAAAGAAAATGAACAAAAGTCAGGAGGACCTCCCAAAGTTGAGTCTACTCTATTATTTTTAGTTCGGAAAGAAATCCCCTAATGAGTTTTCAGTCTTGGGTAGACTTGTATGTAGAAAAGATGATTATTAGCCTAGGCGGGTGGGATTGTTTTGTTTGAGGGTTTTGTTTGGTTTTTAATCTTTGCATATCTTTGCAATGTCACTTACATTCCATTCTTTCTTCCTTGTGAGAATTCCTCCTAACTATTGTGTAACAAAGGGGTGAGAGTAGCCTAGGGGCGATTTTATATGCAAGCAGGTGACCTGCAGATGTTACTTGGGAAACTAACCCCTTTCTTAACACGACCTTAAAAGTACCTTCACTTCTACAGGGAAAAATGATATTCCTTCATAGCATTTATAAGACAGCGTGTCCTCAGCAAGAATTAACATTTGGCATTAATGCAGTTTCAGCAGTAACTTTAAGAGGAGAAACTTTATAACCAGCTATGTATTTAAAATTTCTACTGGCCTGAACTCGAATCTCCGTCACTTTCACAGATAGTTGCTATGGAGACTAAGATGGCAGCCACAGGCATGGCCATCCGGAACCCAGGGAGGTAGAAATGATCAGCATTGAAAGGAGCAGATCTCCTTTTCAGTGTGAGGTCTGGCCTGAGGTACAATCAATTCTGCCTGCAGTTTCTGGGTGCTTGGAAGGAGTCATGAGGGAATTATCCCTCATGTATGAAAACACAAAGTGATCTCACTTGTAAAACCCAAATAAAACAATTTTTTTTTTCAAATGACTGTTCTGGGATATTTGCCAACACTTCAGGGATGATTTAACCAGACCATCAATAGCTAGACAACTTATTTAACTCATTGGTGATGGTTACACGAACCTTCCTTTTGGCAGTAAGCCACCACATAAGAAATCCTGATGCCAGATACAGCATTTCATAAATTATAATAAAGCGACTCCTTGCTGTATACGACACAGAACTCCCTCCTACCCATAACTATTTGTCATCTCGAAGCTTTGAACCCTTGACTTCTGAAAGTTGACCTCCAGACACTAATTCTATAAGGATGTCCTTTATGAAAGGGTTTTGGCGATCAAATCCACTCACTGGAGGATCGCTTCCCTAGAGATCACACAGTGCATAGTAGGGTGTCTGCGGCTTTGCAGAGCACTAGTGCAAAGTCAATTTATCTCGATGTTCCTCACTTGGTTTCAGATTATTGTAGCAGCTTAAAATTGTTCTTTCATACATCCTCTGTTGAACACTAATTAAATTTCCTGCATATTTGATAGATTAATCCAAGTTTGGGAGAACTCAGCAACCTTAGGGCTGCCTCAGAAGAAAGACACTGGCCTGAACAAAAGAAGTCTCTCTGTTGCCCTGGTACCAGAAGGTCTTTGCCAATCGCCTTCCCCTGATGCTGTGTTGGACCCTGGTCCATTTGCAGTGTCCTCTCCTAATGGAAGCGTAGTGTGGGCTCTGAGGCTACTAAAAACCAAACTAACTGAACTTAATCCTATACACAGGACATTTGCCTTTAAACCTGATATTGAATACTCAAGTACATCTTAGCTACACATGAAAGAAATGCTTCCCAATGGTTTTTTTCTTCCAGTTCTTGCTTTCTTTTAATACTTTTTACAAGTCCTCCCTCCCTTTCCACTCTAATAGACAGAATATCTGTTTATTCTTTCCTTGCCTTAATCAAAGTCATTTGTACATCAAGATCATTCAAAACAAAAAACTGGCAGGGAAGAACTAAATGAAAATGACATGATTACAAAGATAATACCGGACCAACTCTGATTTCTTCAAGTAAATTATTTGCAAACTGCAGCATACTAACTAGTGGGAGTAACGAATTCTCCATGAGGGACCTCAGAGATGGTGAGGCACAGGGCTGTGCTCCTGGCGTTGGTGGGGATTTTTGCCCCAAGCCACAGGTCTTGAACGGGAAGAGCATCTGACCCACATGCAGGCTAATTCAGCAGGTTTAGGGAAGAGGCCGAGATCCTGCATTTCTCACTCTCTTCTTGGTGATGCATGGGGCCAGCACTTTGAGAATCACAGCTTACAGCAGTGATTCTAACCTGTCTAACCTAACCTGTCTAATAAGCATTACCTGGAGGCTCTGATTAAAAACATCAAGCCCTGGCCCTACCCTCAGACTCCTGAGATGGAATCTCTGGGAAGAAGGCTCCATATTTTTAATCAACTCCCCTATGATTCAGATCATCCAGAGCTGGACTTGTGCACTCTGAGATGGGGCCTCAGATCTTGGACCCCTGCCTGCCTCTGAGCCTAGGGCCTCTTTCCCTAGAGGCCTCTTCAAAGTGAAGAAGGCTGAGGACACGTGAGTGCCTCATCCAATAACTTGTCCAGTAATTGGTATATTGATTGCTAATGTCATCATGTTTTAGTATATATAAACCCCTCACTCTATTACACAGCCCCCAACAACCCAAAAAGTCATTGTTTATTCATTGTAGCTCCCAAACTGGCCCTTGTCAGCTCCTGCTGGAGGGCTCGCTGATAAAAATCAGCAGATGATTGGACGCACACATTCTTAACATGACTGACCCATGACATCTCAGAGGGCAGCCCAGAGCCTGTCATTACAGTACAATACTTTTCTTTCTTCCTCCTTATCTAGCCCAGATGATTTTGAGATTTTTATTAACTCATTATTGACTGAAGATGTCATTAGAGCCAATGGGAAGGGGCTTTCTATTTTTTTTCTTTCTTCCTTCCTTGCTTTCTTTCGTTCTTTTTTCCTGTCTTTTTAAAGTGGGAATAAGTTGTACAATTTGCTGGGATGGGGGGATGGGTTAGTTGACAAATAGCTAAGATAAGCCAAGTAGAGAGACTTACTTAGTGAGAGTTTAAAATCTGATTCACGAATACTGGGATTCAAAATCTGCACAAAGTAATCCAAATTGCCTTCAGAAGCACGCTGGCTAAGAATGGAGCAATTTGATCAAGGAAATAGCAGCCCATAAAATTCAGCAATTTCTGCTGTGTTGTGGACCCAATCTTTCCAAGCTAAGAGATAAATTTAAAAAAAAAAATTTTTTTTGGTGTAAGTCTACTAAAACCTCTAAATGTTTCTTAACCTAAATAGTCATTAAACCATATCTTGTTTCTTTGTGCCTTTAATTTTCACATCTGCAGAATTGCTTTTAAAAATCAAATTAGATCTTTTGAAGGCACTTAAATAGCAACAACCTTATGTTTTTTTATATGCTCGGGGCTTCAGCCTTTTCATCTGGGTTGTGTGTCCAATTAATGGGCTATCACAAGGAAGCACTAATCATTTCGAAAACTTGAGACTATAAAAAGCAAGCAGACCATTTCCATTATAACTGATTGGCTAGAGAGTAAGCTATGGAGGAAATGTTCAATAATTAGGAAAACTTTTTAGATGAGATCACACACACACTAGTGTCAGTCACATAAGGTGCTTTTCACTGTGCTGAAGTTTTTCAGGTTCAGTTCAGTTGCTGCTCTTTGGGGTTCTGCCTCTGGTATGTCAGAAAGAAATAGCAATATATCATGCTGGATCATTCATTTGGCAAAGGAAATGCCAATTATTAGATGCATCTTGTATGCTCCTAAGTGTTTACTAAATTCTAATATTATCCAAAAACTGTAAATTAACAAGTCCTCCTAACACATGGCAAAACTACTCCCCAAGAAACAAAATGGTTAGAAAGAAAAAGATTTTTGCCCAGGGAAACTGAGGACAGTAAACTATGATCAACATTAAAATACGCTTAAGCAACATCATATCCTGAAATCCCCAAATTACCTCTTTCTTCTCGTATTTTTTTGGCTGGTGGAGGATTTCATTCACTTTGTGTTCTGCTAAATAGAATAATTAGTATTTGCAAATTAACTTCACACAATCATTTTATCTAATTCAGTAATAATGGAACTAAGTCTTCCCATTCACCTTTCTGCATATAATGTTGAACACTCAGTGAAACTTGGCGGGGGGGATAAATTAAGAATCCAGATGTTTTTAAAGATCCAGATGTATAGTGTCAAATAAACAAAACATCAAGGTTTTTACTTTTTTTCCTTCTTCATCCAGATGTTTAATGTCATGTAGACACTCTTAATCTGTTCAGGCACAACTGGTGTTTTTTTAATATCATTTGCCAATATTTGGAAATTCTTTCTTCACAAAATTATCTCTAAAACTCCCATTTAGTACATTCATAGGGAAAACACAAAGCATATTTTCTTCAGAAACAAAACAAAGTACCCAGTAGACTGACAACACAGGAACACCGTTCAGAATTGTATCCGAATCTTTACAGTGAAAAATATTTCCTATGTGAACTTTTAAACAATGAAAGACAATTCAATCCAAAAGATTGGAATAGCAGCTTAATTTTAATTGGCATGTGTGTATTAGTTTCAGTTCTAATAAGTAACTGGAGAGTCACAGGCAGGCTCTCAAGTGTAAATGATGGCCGCCTCTTCATTGGGCTTCATTCCCAACTTATTAACTTTTTTACTAATTCCTAAATGACACTACCATTGACTCTCTTTTACAGATTCAGCCAAACACAGGACATGACACTTTGGGGGCAGGGAATTCACCTTCATTGAAAATGTACAACAATATTTCGGGAAAAAAATTCATCTGCACCAGTATGTACAGACCTTTTATCTTGACATCATTTCCTGAGTAATATACTATATCTATTCATTTAATATTCTTATTATATTATATGTTAAAAGTCACCTAGAGATGGTCTAAAATATGCAAGAGGGCATGCCAGGATTCTAGGCAAATACTGCACTATTTTCTTTAAGGGATTGAACAGACACAGATTTTGATATCCATGAGGGATCCTGGAATCAACCTTCTGTGGAAACGAAGAAGCAACTCAACCTGACATTTTACAATCTTCTGTAACTTCAATTACATGAAAACACAGACTTAGATCTAAAGACAGACTTGATAGTGAGTCCCTGCCCTTCCATGTTCTATGTATGCTTGAGTCAGTTTATTTACCACATGGCCTCAATGTTCTCTTCTTTAAAATGGAAAAAGGGTTGGGAGCATGGTACAGGGATGGAGTATGCAAAGCCCTGTGTTCCAGCTCTAGCACTGAAATTTTTTTGGGAGGGGAAGGAAATAGCCTTGTTTCAATCTAGCATGAGGATCTATTGAAAGAACTTTGCATGGTCAAAGTACTTTATAAATATTTATGCTTTATAAAATTGTTAGCATACAAAATAGTCTATTGTCAATATTATATATATTACATAAATAATATCACTATATAAAAGTGTCATCACTAATAATATGAACTCCAAGAAGACTCAGTGAGGACAGTAACACAGAGAAGACCTGGAAAACTATGTTTCTAAATTATATCAGAAACAATTACAATCCCTGGCTGGCCAAAGCAACATCAGATTCTAATTCAACTGTGGTTCTATCCTTTGCATAGCTGAATAGAAATTCAAGTTTTTCTTGCTCTTCTTTTTATTGCAAGTAAACAGACTAGTTATAAAGCTCACTGAATTTGTCTCTGACTGCAAAAGGGCATTTATACCAACCTAGGACTCTTGTTTTGTGGGACTGGTGGGTTTAACTCTGATGGGCTTGCACAGCCTCCTTCCTTCTGACCAGTGCCAAAGATTCACTTCTTTGCATCTGGCAATTCTGTGGTTTCTGGCTGACCAAACCTCATTGGGGTCTGTCTGACATGGGAGATGGCTTTTGTCTCTTTCCTTCTTTCTTTCTATTAATAAGTTTTAATTAGGATTAAGTTTTGGCCAGACTTCCTCCCTACACTATACCAGAGCTTCTAAGTAACAAGTCAACTTATGCCCTTATAAAAAAAAAAAAAAAAAAGTGACCACTAAATCTCTCCCAAACATTTCAATCTTACATATGTTTGGAAATACCAAGAGTTTTTGAGAAGGTATCAAAACTTTTGAGCTATATGCTTAACATAGTGTAAGGTTTGTGAAGTACAAAGAAGAAATACAAAGAAATGAAAGGAAGATAACTTAGTTCATTTCAATTTTTTTAAGCCATAGTATCAGAATACTATAAAACAAGCAAACAAACAAACCAAAAAACTCATAGAGGAGGAAATTTCTTTCAAAGTTGAACCCAACTTTTCTCTGTCATATGATGATTGTCAAGATAGAATGAATAATCAACTTTTAGTTCAACTTTTAAGTCACATATCACTTATTAGCATGTTGCCATAGTTGAACACTTGCTTGGAAGAGCTAGAAGTCAATACAAAAGGAAACAATCATAATGAAAGTGTAGATTTCTACCGCCATAACAAGGCAAGGTGTGTGTGCTGGAAGAAAGCAGGGTACCGAAGCCCATGACAAGTCATGATAAATGGGTCGTTATAAAATTCATGTTTAGGCAGCACCAGGCCGGGGATAATGCCATTCGTCATGGCAACACTAGGCCGCTAATGAGTCCTCATTGCATATTCATGTCTGTGTGGTGCTTGTCTCCCTCCCACCCTGAACTAGTGCCTGGAAATATCTCTACCTCAAGCCGAAGCTCAGCTTAGACCTTCTTCTTCTTTGCTTTGCTTTTTTTTTATTTGTTATGTTGCAGCAATTACACTGTAAAAGTGCTGCCCAAGATTGATTGCTCTGATCTGTAGTTCAATTGTAAATTAGAATACACATCCCCCCAGGGACACACGGCCCCTATTTGTGATTAAGAAAAAAGCCCCATAATAGACTAATAGCTAAAGTTCTCTCTCTTTTACTTTCAGGCAATTAGCTTGATGAAATGGCCTCTTTTTGTGTACCCTGGAAGTGTAAACCGATATCATAATGAAGTATATGATGTTTATTCTATTATTTTCACCTTGCTGGGTATGCAGGAATGCATAAGTAATGGCTGCTTTGTCTAGTACATTTACTGATTCACAAGTAAACTATTTCTTAAAGATGCAGTGTGCGCTTTCTGAGGCTTGAGCTAAGCAACCCCTCACTGTGAGGTAACCTCCATGCAAAGGACTCTCTAGTCAAGAGGAGGAAAATAAATTTCCTAGGTAGTCATGAGAACAGGAGTGTGATATTCAAGGAGCTTCTGCGCACTGGGACTGTTCTGGGTTGCTGAGAAGCGAAGTGTAAATGGCAGTGTTCAGAATCAGTGAGGACACTAGTGCACTTTGGAAAAGTGTCCTGGGGTGACTCTCCGCTCCCCATGATATGCCAGCTGACTGTGCTGTATCCTTTATCTCACCAAGTAGTGGACAATCACCTCCTTAGTTTCTAACCTTGGATAGAGCAAGCTTTTCCTACACCATTGTTATTTAGTCATTTTTAATGGACCCTACCTCCCAGCTCAAAAAATGTCAAGTGCTTTTAAAACTAAACTTGGATTTCCTGTGTTTCCCGTGGCAAGAGAACACTCTACAGCTTCCTGCTGACTGAAGTTTTGATGGAGACCCAGTGAATCCAAATACTTGTATTGGTGTCTTGTCATGGCCATTTGTACTCTTTACATCCAACATTTTAACATTTGTCTTCTTTCTATTTATAATGATCTTCTGATTAAACGGGGGGGGGGGGGTCCCAAATGGCAAGGCAGAAAAAAAATAAAATAGAAGCAAAGACAAGGAAAAGGAAAATAGGAGATGTGATTAAAAAATATGGTGAATGTTTAAATTATGGTGAATGTTAAAATATGGTGAAAATTAAATTTAAAAACATTTTACAATAAAAGACACATTACCCTTAATCCTTTGCAGAATATTCCTCTTCATTTCAAATGCACTTATCTATCATTCTTTCCATTTTATAACAGTTCTGGAAATGCTCATTTAGGACTGTCTTGCTGTCTTAATATCACAAATCAGCTCAAATTGTGTACTTTTCATGGTCAATTTAACTTTGGGCAAGAGCAGAAGTTGCAGTGTCAAATCCAGTGGTTGTTATGGTTTGCATCTGGATGTCCTCCCAAAGTCTCATGTGGCCATGGGGGCAGGTTTCTAGAGCTTGTGATTGATTCATCACCCAATGCTGGAATTATGGGTGTGAGTGTTACACCCATCCTATATAGAGTGTGGTAGCCTATGTACAATACAGGGGACATAAAGAGTCATCTCTCCTCACTCTCTCCTCATCTTTTGCTCTTGTTACTTTGGTTGTTTTCTGCCATTAGTGAACTATTGACCACTGACAAGAGTCACCCTGCCTTGTACCCAGAAGATCATGGACTGAAACCTCCACAATCTGGGAGCTAAATAAATCTTACTTAATTTTGGAAATTGGGTATTTTCTCAGCAACAAGAAAAAAGTAACCAACACAGAATTTGGTGCCAGACAAGTGGGATCATTGCTATGACTTTACATAACCATGTGACTCAAGAGCCTTTGGGAATGACTTGTGGGAAGAGTTTGGAAACATTCAGAAATGTCACCTGAAAGAGTAGAGCTGAAACATGTTAGGTGGTTCTGTATGGGAAAGGCCAAGAAGGCTGATAGAAATTCTGCAGGAAAAGTCCAGGCTTGAAAGGTTTCTGCTAGAAATAAGGACTACACTGGCTGCTGGACTCCAGACAACATGTATTATGGCTTAGTAGAAAGTTTGTCTGTTTTTGCTCATGTCCAGAGATTTTTGCCTGAGTCTAAGATTAAGTGTGGCAGACTAATAAATCTGGCAGAAGAAACTTCAAGACAGTCTAATGTTGAGGTAGTGGCATGGCTATTGTTGAGGGATTTTACCTTGATCTATGTTGAGAATCAAAATGAAAGAGCTCCACATAATGATTTAAAATGCTGTGAGTTTGACCAAAAAGGAAGCTCCACTAAAGCTTTGGACTACAAACATAGAGCTGAAGAGATCTCTATTGCTGAGAAGGAACAGAATAGAAAAGGTGGCCTGAGGGCATCATAAAAAGCAGCAAGGCTCCACCTTTTGCAGTCCCAAAACTGCAAAAATGAAAGACTTTTCTTTGAGGAAAAAGCCACAGAGCACCATGTTCCAGAATGGTGGCATAGGTGGACATGCCAGGATTCAGAATGGCAGCAGCATAGAGAATTTGTTCCTCAAAATTAGATCCAGAGTGCTCAGCAACCAGGCACTTGACCTCTACTACAAAAAGAAAAGAAAGGTTGACTGCCACTCCAGCTGGCAACAGCTTAGCATCATCCACGTGGTGCTGGTTTTAGGCACATACAGAATGCAAGAGTTTGAGATTATGCAGGTTTCAAAAGATGGTTTGGGAGGCCAGGAAGTGTGCCTCTGAACAGGCAGTGTATGAAGTTGTGAGTATGAAGCCAAAAGTACAATGGAGGCCCCAGAGATTTGGAGAATCTAGAAACGTGGACCATCTGAGGAAACCTTCAAGGAAGAAGTAAAGTGAGCCCAAGAGAGAAGATGTGGATGCTACACCCATGCAAGTACTGTAGGTGTGGAACCACGCAAACCCTTTGGAGCTCACGGCTTGCCACAGATGTCCCACATGGAAGTACAACACTTAATACTTGTCCTGTTGGGTTTTGGACTTGCTTTGGTTCCAGTCCTTTATATTCCCCTGTTTGTACCTTCTGGAATGGTAATGTTTGTCTTGTGTCACCAAATGTTAGAAGTGTTTAATTTTTCATTTGTACAGGAGCTCACAGCTCAGAGTTTGCCTTAGATCTTGGAGGAGACTTGGGACATGGACTTTTCAGCAATGGTAAAACTGTTAGGATTTTGGCAACTCTTAGAGGACTAAATGCCTTTTGAATAAAGGACGTGCATGAATCTTTGGGGAGCCTATCTCAAATACCTCATTTTGTTCCCCCACAATGCACCTCATTTAACCTAGTAATGACTTCTCTCTCATTCAGGCCAGTGAAGACAGGACTTGGATCTAAAATCCAGTAGATATACTTCTTCAAGGATGCACTCATTTGTCATGTCTGCCCAGGTGCACCCCTGATCAGGCCTCACGTGTGACAAAGAACTCTGCTTAGGACTCTTAGGAAAGCAGCTCTGAGCTGTTGTCATTCACCACCATTCAAGCCATGGGTGGGTGCCTGACAGATGGTTTGTTCCTTGTTTGAGTGGCCTTGAGATTCTCCAAAATGAGACATTCAAAGCAAAATCCAGGGAACAGACAAAATCAAAAGCAGAACCTTGTCAACCATGACCTCTTATGAGAAAATTCAGCTTCCTAAATTAAGAAAAAGACAAACCTTAGAAATGACTCCAAAATAAATGAGCCTTGAACAGTGTGTAAGTACTTCCAAATCTCAGGTGTACCATTACTTAAACATATAGAAAAAATAAGGTTTTGTCATTATGCTTTTCACTCATCCTGTAATTCAGTCTATAATCCATTTAGTGAGTACTTGCTGATAAAATAGACATCATCCAGCCCCTCATAGAATCTACAGTTCAACAGTGGAGATAGATACTTTATAATCTCACCAGTGAAGGCAAAATACCAAATACCATCATGTGCACAAATTATAGGTAGAACATAAGAATCATAGGGCAGATGATATGAAAAATGCTTCAAAGCAGAACAGCTTGTAAGAGAAGGCTGAAGACTCAGGTTTTAGGTGAAGGTATGAGAAGGAGGAAAGTATTTCTGGAAATAGCACGTGCAAAGGTCCAGGTGTAGGAAAGAACTTGGTAAGTGAACAGAGCATTAAACAGGCCAGCATGACTAGACTAGCAGGACATGTCAGTAGAACAGGATATGATGCTATTGAGGAAAGAAGATCTAAGTATTTAGGACCACAATGTATAGCTCTTTGTAGACCATACCTTTGGGCCAAAATCTAGGGTACCACTTTAAGTCTGATGGAAAACAGCTGAAAGCTCTGAGAATCAAAGATCTGTGATCAGCTCTACAGCAACCCACAGGACAATGATGTTGTCCCATTTTAAATAAGGAACTTTGAGCAGGGATATAGCTCAGCAGCATAGCATCTGCTGGGCAAGCACGAGGTTGGGAGTTCAATTCCCAGGACAAAAAAAAAAAAAAAAAAAAAAAATTAAGAATCTCAGTTTTTAGGACAGGAACACACAACAGTTTTTCCAATGCCCAGTACTAAGTAGACTCTAGAGAACCACATTCCCTTTACTTTGGTTCTCTGAATCCCAGCCCCAGCCTCCCAGCACTGAGTGGACAAGGTCTAATACCAGATGTATCAAAGAGCCAGAGTCAGTCTAAGAAACAATGACAGCTCATACAACAGTAAGGCATGGGCTACAATGAGGATACTAGAAGACAGGGTCTTATGATGTGGAATTAGAGCGCTTGGTCTAGGCAGCCCATAAGTGCTCATTGCCAGCATCTTAGAACACTGATTGGCCACGTGACCTGCTCTTGAGTTGCTTACCCATATCCCCTGATCTCCTTAGAACCATCACTCTGGAACATCGCCCTCTGACAGGGAATGCTATTGTCATTGCATATTAACTCTTGTCTCATTCACTTGCAGTAAAATGCCTCCTCTTCCTTCACTACGTTTTCCCTAACACCTACTATGATGTGGGGCACCTGTAGGTGCTTCTGGTGTTGCACTGCTTCATGTATAAGACAGTGTGCAACACCCTACATTGTAATAATGGATCTTTTATCTATTGCTTCTCACGTGTTCCTGGAGCACAGACTCCTTCTCCATCTATACATCTCCAGTTCATCAAAGCTGGCACCTGACACAAGGTTGATTCATTGATCAGTTCTTTAATGAATAGATGAATCAATTAAGTCTAAAAGATCTCCATGAGTGGAGCCAACCCTACCCCTTCATTAGTTCCCCACAAGATGCAAAAACATCACGTCATCAAAGCATCTTGCATATCAATATTCACTGGTGAGAGAACTCATGTCAACTCTGCACATCAATATTCACTGGTACCCCCTCAAAACTGGTGCTCCATTGATCTCCACATATTAGTATACACCAGGTTACATGTTCATGTAAGAGCCCATGAATTCTAAATAAAATCTCAGAGTCAACAGAAATAAATCAATTTCCTAATTTTGACAACTGTTAAATGAGATGCTAGCTTATCCTTGGGGAAAACTGAGTGAAACTTACAAAAGAGCTCTCCAATTTATTTTTATACCTTCTTGTGAGACTTAAGTTACTTTAAAATAAAGGGCTGTAATTTTTTACAATGAACATTTCTTTATTTTTATACTCGTAAATCCTTATATATACTTTTCAGATGTATTTCCAGAATATCTAAAAGTCAGTAAAGATTAGATGGTGCTATCATGTATTACACTGCATGTAGGAAAGGTACAACCCATCTGATCACTGTTCCTTTTGTCTGGCTGGGCTGGCATTTAAAATATGCTGGGCGAGGAGCGGGAAACATTACTTTTGCATGATTCAAGCATATCCTCAAAATGATGTTTTCATAAACAAAGTGCCAACAGCTATAATCTTCTCTTTTCCTTTTATCTTAATTCAGGCCAATAACAAGTATTTCTGCTTCCTTCTGCAAGATTCCAGGCTTTGAAACACAGGAAGCAATTATAAGTTGCAGAGATCTGTTAGTAAAAAAACTCAGAAGAAGTCAGAATGCCTTTAAACTTCTTTCTCCCTAGTGTTAGCCTTTGAGCATGATGCTAATTTTGGACAAATATATTTAAAACAAATAATGTTGATGACCTGGGACTCTAGTTTAGTGATTGGACACTTGTCTAGTATGAGGCCTGGAGTTCTTCCCCAGCACTACAAAAATAAAGAAATGAATAAATAAAGTCAATGTTCACACTCCGACAGTACTGCTGGCATTTTTAAACTCAGTGTTTAAGAGCCCACTATTGGTTACATGGAAATCTATGTGGTTCATCACATTGAAACTCTGAAGCCTAGTAAGCAACTGTTCTACTGTCTTGGAGATTCAAAAGCCACTAGCTAGTAATCCATGTGTAGCTGCAAGAGGTGGAACACTCCTATAACCCCAGCTACTGGGGAAGCTGATGCAGGATTGCAATTAGAGGCTGGCCCGCTCAACTTCATGGGATCCTGTCTCAAAATAACCTATGGAAAGAGCTGGGAACTTTTGTCACTCAGTTGTAGAATGCTTGCCTAACATGCATGAGATCCTGGGTTCAATCCCCAGCACTGAAGAAAAAAAGAAAAGAAAAAAGAAGGGAAGGAAAAGAAAAGGAAAGAAAGTTTTGATATGCATGTAGATCAAAGTAAAATTTCACTGTATCTTTTAACAAGCCCTTTCTTAGCATGAAATGCTAATACCATTTCCAGTACTATTCCGTTAATAAACTTCTTGTGGCAAATAGGATGGAAATTATTTAAAACCTTGTAAATGCCATAAATATAAAATTGAATTTGAAGACAAATGGCATTCAACCATATTTTCTCTTCCTTTTCTAGAAACTGAAGACTTTCTTGGTTCCATCTAAGAAATGTGTGCTCAGAATTTCTGTAGTTTTGTGATAAACTATGATAACTAAGTTCAGCTCAAGGAATGGCATGGCAGCTCCATCTAGAGAGACCTACCAGCTTGTCCAGAAGACATTCCAAAGGGTTACAGTAAGGTAGCCATGTACAAGAAGAGAGTGTCTCTCTGCTGGCTAGAGAAGCTCACTGAGGAAGGGTATCCAGCTTTACTTCTTCAGGAAAACATTCAGGAGCTGTAAAGACAAAGCATCACTTAGTAAAGGAAAGCAGGGATGTGACAAAAATACTTTTACTGTTTGGCTTATTGGTGCATTGAATCAAAGAAGAAGGAACTGTAACAACCTTCACTCCTGCCTAAACTGAGACACTCCATCCACCTAATCTTTTGTGCACCGAGAATACAGTTTTATTCCGAAGAAAACCCTCTTGAAAATATCCCCAAAGAGATAAAATGTCTTTAAGATCTCACAGCAATTTAATGCTTGCTGTGGGCCAAATCTTCCAATTAGAATCAGTCACTTTAAGTGCTGAAGTCGTATAACGCTAATAGATCACTTTATAATGTGAGCAGTTTTTAAAAGTCGTATTTAATTTTCCATTATTACTGTACTGAAGCCTGGTTGTATCTGTCTATTCCATTATAGATTCTGACATCCAGGAAGGGATAGATTGCTGCTGGCTGATGCATTGCTCAGTTCTGGCTTTAATTCTCAGAGACCTGAATTCGAACTCTAAAATAGACCATATTTCAACTTTCTTCATAAATATGTTTATTTTTATTTCCAAACCAAATGATAAGGGCTCCTTTCCTGTTTCATAATTATTTTCTTTAAGAAAACTACAGATTGAGGCAAAAGCCACCATGGTACATGTGTGTGTGTGTGTGTGTGTGAGTGAGTGAGTATCTGAGTGTATGTATCCACACGCACACAAGTGTGTGGTTTTCTTTAAGAAAATGAAATGAACCAGAAAATAAGCCCCTAACAGTAACCTGAGAAATCAAACAAAATCATTTACAACACATGGGATTTTTGCAGGATATGTCAAGATTAGATGGTTTAAGGGAGCTATCCTGAATGTGGAAGCAATTATAACAAAATTCATGACTCATTAGCAAACACTGCATATTGTGTTTCTCATTTCTGGGTCAATGTTACTAGGAAATATAGATGTAAGATTTAGATTTTCATTGGTTTCAGTGTTAGATTATAGAAAGTTAGACCCGGCAGTGACAGAAAGCAAAGACTTCAGGATTTTGAACTTCCTCCTTTCTCATCTGTAGGCGGTGAGGTCCTCAAAATATGGGTGAAAAATTACCATTACTTGTATATCAGTGAGCAGTAAATTGGTGATAGAAGGGTTGTCTGTAAATGTAAAGTAAGAATTACATAGTGCAAAAGTGTACCAGAGGACGTCAGTAAGGTTTTTGTGTGCACGCTGCTTGGTATGCAAAATGCCTGGTGAACTCAAGTACCCAATACTGTATGTAATGGGAACCAGATGTCTAACAGAGAGAGAAAAATATTTTATAGCAATAAATGTGACATTGACTCTTAAAGGGTTTGCTGCTTTTAAACAACTTCCCAGTCTCACTTTCCTTCCTATTTTAAAATGGTTTCAAGTAGATTGTGTCAGGAAATTATTTTCATGTTCTGAAAGAAAAAGTATTTAATTTGCTACTAACTTCTAAAATGCATACATAAAGAGAAGTGATCTGAGAAAGATAATTTTAGAATTCATTTACCAAAACACTGTGCTCAGCAATGCAATATATATATATATATATATATATGCAAATAAAATATAATTCCTCTTGCCCTTAAGGAACTCAATATAGTAGATGAGACAAGGTGCACGTAACTTGGGGACATGGCAAAAACAAGCTCTGGGAAAGAGGCACAAAGTGCTCTGAGAATTCAGAGGAAAAAGAGAAAATCCCACAGCTGGCAGGCTCTGAGCATGTGATCATCCCCAGCGTTTCCCATCCTGCCCCTCCTCTGCACAGACAGAGAGGCTGCCCTGGCAGGGGTCCCCAGTTCTCTGGCATGGCTGGGACAACAACTCCCACGGCTCATCTCTCTCCACTGCTCAATACTCACTCCAGATACAACCCTAACTTCACTGCCCGAGTAGCTGTTCTGAAGCACTGGCCCATCTGGGAAGAAGAGCACCCTAATAATAAAGGGGCTACCTTTCTAGTAAGACCCTCAGGGTCCACTTCTCACTTTGCCACACACTGGTTGTGCCTTGATGGAAGTCATTTAATGCATCTATCTGTAACACACATCTCAGGCCCTGGGAGTCAGGGTTTAGAGTAGTCCTGCACACAATGTGCTCACTGTCCCTGGCATAGAATCAGGCCACAGTTAGACACTCTCTTCTCTGTTCCCTATCAAGCATCCAGTCTAGTTCATCTAGGGCAAAATCTAAAGTCTTTATTTTGTATGCCAAGCTGCTTATGTGCTGGTCCTTGTATGCTTCAATTCTTTTTCTGGATCTCTTCCTTCAAACAGCAGACACTTTTGCACCCGGGTCCGCTTGTCATTATCCAAGTTCAGCTCCATCTCTGTACCTCGGCATGTGTGGCTCCATTTGCCCTAAATAGCCCCATGTCCACTTGTTGCCATACAAATTGGTGTTCACTCTGCAGGCCTCTCTTCTAGCAGATCCTCCTGAGCCTTTTCTGATTTCCTGCGGAAGAACGAGCTCCTCCTTCCGCCAAGCTCTGGCCATAAACTGACATGGCGCACCCAGCACAAATAAGTGAAGTGGTGTAAGGTAAGAAGCAGGAAGTGTGGAAACTTCTTTTTTTTTTTTTTTTTTTTTTCAAAAAAAGAAAACTTTCTTTCATAGCTAAAAGGTCAGCCCCTCTTTAACATCATCATGGTAAACAGGGCCCAGTATGCTCAAGTCTTCCATTTTTCTAAGGTAGGACAGATTTCACTTTTCACTGCAAAGGGTCCAACTGTTCACTGTTGAAAAATTTTTAAATTTAGATGTTGTCATTTTGCACCAAGTAAATCAAACCTCGGGGACAAAACGGAGACCTCAGTTCTTGAACTGCTTAATTCCACAATGTCTTACAGTGCACATCTCCATCCCAGCAAACTTACCTTTGGCCTGTAATTATTTGCACTTCTATTTTCCCATCATGCTAAGCTTCTTGAAGACAAAACCCATATTGAATTCTCTTTTTCTTCCTCAAATATCCAGCACAGTGAGTGGCTCCAAAAAGTACCTCGCTAAGTTTCATATTGATATTTTCCTAAGCTTGGAAGCCAGGGAAGGGTTTGCAGAAGAGAGGTCATTCCAAGACGATCAAACAATACAGACAATCATGATACAAACGTCCCTATTTTTAGAGAGAAAGGATTTTATAGATATTGCAGTCCTTAGTCGCTATCTGCTTTCCTTTGAACCATCTGCAACTCTTCCTGTACCAACTATAAAGCCCATCCTACAGCTAGCTGCACTAGAATTGTTCTCAAAACATTAAGCTGGTCTATAAACCTTGTCTGTCTATAAATGCAATCTACCCTTGGCACATAAATGAATAACTAAGTGGTTGAACCGACTTTACTTGAAGGAACTCCACCTAAAACGTCAGAGGTGAGTGTTCTAATTTTGTTAGAAGGTGAGCATGCATCACACTGCAAACACAGCAAGAAGCACTGCCTCTAAATCCACAGTCAAGTAGATGGTGAAGTCTGGGGAAGTGGGCAGTGGAGACCAGGAACAGCAGTGACAGTACAGGCTTACACACTTTTCCAGTGTTCATAACATTGATCCAGTGTGGAAACTTCTGGGCAGTTAGCTCAAGGGAAAATCAGGTATCCATCTATATTTAACTGTAAGAATGCTCACTGCAGGGGGCTGGGGATTTAGCTCAGCGGCATAAGCACCTGCCTTGCAAGCAGGCAGTCCTGAGTTCGATCCCTGGTACCGATAAAAAAGAAAAAGACAAAAAAAAAAAAAAAAAGAATGCTCACTGCACTTCTGCTTATTTTGTTGAAAATATGGGTTCTCTCACTTAAGCAATATAAAAGATTGGTTTATAATTATTGATAATTATAGGGGAAATACATTGAGCCCTTACTGTGTGCAACAGATAATGTGCTGAGAATTTCAAGATGCATTATATAATTTAGCTTTTCCTTACGCCCATGTTACATATGCAAAAATTGAAACATAGCATGTTTAAATATTTTGTCCATATTATACAACAAATACGTGTCAGAGAAGGACGTTTGAACTCAGTTCAAGCTTCATCCATTAATTGTTCTTCTCTCAGAAATATTGGCATATTCAGAGTACTCATGATAAGGACATCACAATTACAATCTTGGAAAGTACACAATACACAGAAATATGTGATATATTGTTCAAGAAAAAAATTAGTTTATACAAAAGTGTCAGTATGCAGTTGTTGGGTGGGAATATCAGAATTCTATAGATGCTACTTCATTGAAGATGGATATAAGGTTAAGTTACAAGGCCGTGCCACAAAAATCACTGCGGGCCAGAAATTAGGACCAGGATGTAGGTTTCTGCCCCAGTAAACTCATCTTTCTCACTTTTTATTCTCTCTCCTTCGCTTGAAAACCACCTTCTCCAGTGAAGCTTTAAGTTTCTTAGATATGCTTAGCATACCTAAGCATATGATATAGGTCGGGTCTCACCAACTTAATTTATCTAAAGGAAAGAGCAGGAGGTACTGGTTTAACTGGGACCAGAGACGTTCCGGCTGATGGCCACTCCTGTTCCAATCACCTGGGGCCAGATGAGCTCTGTGGAACTGGTTCTACAAAGCAACAAGGGGCTTGCAGGAAAATACTAAGCATCTAAAAGGTGGTACTATTTTTGTCTATAAAAACCATAAATACAGAGGGAAAAAAGATAATAAAGGCTAACATCAGGGTATTAACAATGTTTCTGTCTATATTGTTTGTTTTATTTTTGCTTCTCTTTGTGTTCTAAATTCCCTATCGTGGATATATATCACTTTTGTGCTAAAAGGACAAAAGAAATCCAGCCCACATGAGGATCAAAGAGGGAATTCCACAGTGGGTGGTATTTGGAGACTAAAGGCTCAGAAGCAAAGTGTTTTTAGTAATGATGGAATGTAGGGAGTGCTTATCAAAGAAAGGTAAGCGACTAAACAGCAAACCTCACCTGAAATCCTGGATAGAGTGGAGGAAGGCCCTCTCAGGAAGCCATGTCAGGTGTGCAGGCATGGTGTGTGCCAGGGCTCCATACCCTGTGACCGTGCCTGGGCAACCGGCTTCCAGGACAAGAAAGATCAGAGCAGAGGAAAAAGGCATGTATCACATGGAACATAAGGCAGGACTTAGAAAGCAGGAGACAGTGGTCAAGAAGGCAGAAAGCAACATCAAGATGTGTTTTCCAAGTAATCATCAAGTAATGAGATGAGAAAAGCAAAAAGCAGTTCATTGGTCTGAAAATGACAATGGAGTCAATAGAGAAGGGGAGGAAAGAGAAGGGGAGGGAAGGGAAGGGAAGGGAAGGAGACAGAAGGGGAGGGGAGGGAAGGGAAGAAAAGGGAAGGGGAAGGGAGGGGACAGAAAGGGAAGAGAGAGGAGGGGAAGGGAGTTTGGGCTTTTTTCAAGCAAAACATGATAAAGGCGTGACCACAAGATGATATCAGGTAGGGAAGAGCTTTAGGAACACACAGAACAATGGAGCTGAAGGGGAGAACCAGAGGTGGAAGCCAGGGAGGAGGACAGGTAAGGAGTAAGAAAGTGTGGGGAACAGAGGCCGGCAGAGCACTTGCTGCCTCGCACACACAAGGCCCTGGTTCAATCTCCAACTGTGGGAAAAAAAAAGTTATGGAGAACAAATACATGAGTTTAAATAAAGTTAGCAAGAACCCACATTCTAGGGCTAGAGAATAGTTTGCCCTGTGATGAGACCGATGAGCACTCATCCTGTTGAGGCACACTCTTCCTTTGGAATGTCAATATTTCCTTATTCTCCACTGAGTGCTTAGTGAAGTTTTTAGCTCTAACTAGATGGCAACCTCTCTCCTCGATCCAGAGAAGACATCTCTGTGCCTACCCTAGAACCTGACTAATGGTTGACAGAGTGTGTAACATAGGTAGACAAAAAGGCCATTGATTCTGTTTCTATCTCATTCTCTTGGGACCCTCATCTTTGGAGTCCTGATCAGCTGTGTAGACAGCCTGAGCTGAGATGCTAGGAGGAGGCTATCATGACACGCTTCTGTGCAGGTGACAGCACCAGCTGAGGGGACACAGGCGGCCAGCATCAGCCATCAGACCTGTGAGGAAAGATGTGTTGGCAGGGACCACCCTCAGCCTCATGAGGACTGCCTGCCTGCCTGCCTGCAAGCCACCCTGCTGGCCCCAGGGTGACTCTCAGAACCATCTTGTCATTCAGAAAGATAACTGGAGCAGACATCATTTGTTTTCAGTAAATATTTTTTTAAATTTGTTTCATACATAGATAAGGCAAAGCAACATTGGTTCTGGATTTTTTTTCTGCCTTTTATGTTATCCTTCATTATTTTTCTTAATAAGACTCTCCTCTCTGGCTGGGGATTTAGCTCAGCAGCATAAGCGCCTGCCTGGCAAGTGTGAGGTCGTGAGTTCAATCCCGGGTATGGCGGGAAAAAAAAAAGACTCTCTTCTCTCTCTTCTCTCTCTCCCCCTCTTCCAACCCCATCTTTTCCTCCCTCCCCCTTCCCTCCCTTCCTTCTCTCTCTTTCATTCTCTACTTTTTCACAGCCAGGGTAATTGTAAAGCAGCTACCATCCAGAGAGCCTCAGCTCTCTCCGTGCCTATGAAATACCTCGATTTCTCTCTTTTGATGTAAAGAAACTCAATTCCTTTTTGACAACTGATATTGATCCCATTTCTCTGTGCTTTCCTGACTTTATCCTCCTTCCTGAATACTCTGAATCTTCTCTGTACTTCTTAGGTTGTAAAACTAAGAACAAGATACCCTACCCCAGTGATGATCTTGGCTCTAGCATGCCCCTCATCTGAAAAGTGATGTTATTCTTGGCCTCCTTCGAACCTTCTCATGACTGTTCTGCGCATCTGCTGCAGGAACTCTTGACTCCCTTCCCCAGCAGTCCAGGGAGTCCACAGACAGCAGCCCCATCAGGAACCTGGGTGGGAAGATAGCAAGCAGGGTGGTCAGAAGGGCTCAGTGGGCCTCCGGTTTCCAGGGAGGCCATGTAGCTGGTTTCTCAGCTGACTCAGACAGGAGTGACTCATACAATGGTGGCTAAGCAGTTGATAAAGCTGGAGGCTGAAGGCTTTGCAGAAACTAGATCAGCAAGTTTCCTTCACCCCTTATGTGCAAGGGAGTGCAGTTCATCTGCACTACCCACAGAAGTGTCCCAGTCCACCACCTTGGTGTGTCAACTATGACAAGCCACAGATCCACGCCCTTCCTATGATGCTCAATGACCACAGAACTGCACAGCAGAGAAACAAAAAGCCACCCCCAGGAATGGCAAGCATGTAGCTAAAAGGAGTGTGGCGTGCAGGACTGGCAGGCCACACTAGCAGCAGGCAAAGCAGTATCATATCAGGTCAAGGAGAAAGCCCTGAAGCCAAAAATAGCTGCCCTTCCCAGTTGCCACAGCATCTAAAATTATACCATTGAAGATTTATTCCTTTGCGTACCTCACCTTTGATGGGGGTGGACCTGGGGAGGACCCACAGTACGTCTTCACACAAAGGTGCAAGAGGCCTGAGAGACTCAGGAGTTATTTGGGGGTGGGAAAGGAGGGAGGTGTTGAAAAGGCAGGAACAGGGCACAGGAAGTACTGGTGAGGTATAGCAAAGGGCAGCTTCTCCTGTTTCAGGGTTTTACCCAGAAGGAGCCTGGCTGGCAGCTACATCATAAAACCAAGGCCCGAGCAATTTGCCAGTAAATTTGAAACATGCATGTAAACAATCCTAATAATGTATTCCTTGAAATGCCTTTATAATACATTATTATGCAGAGTGGTGCATGCCTCCACTCCAAATTGCCTAAATGGAAAAAAAAAAAGGTACACGAAGGGGCAATTAAAAATAACAAGAGGCACCGTGAGGAAATGGTATACGCCCCAACGTGTAGGGAAGTTGAATGCAGGTGATGGGGTCACTTGACCAAAGTCATGGTTGGGAGGTGGGGGGAATGCCTTTAAACTCCAGGCAAGGACTTCATCTTTTATAGTGGGAAGTTTGGTTAACCTGGCCCCAGAAGATTAAGAAGTCAACAAAATAAAAGCAAACAATCACTGTGAAATCCACATCCAGGTGACTATATCAGTGAGCAGAAGTCCATTCACTTGCATTTTTAGAGTTCTTAAGGAAGAGACAAGAATTTGGGAAGATAAATTCACACCACGTAAAGCACCTCTGGGGCAGAAAGCTAAGTACCACAGAGACCACTGGTCGGCTTTTGGTAGAGGGCAAAGATAAAATAATGAACTGAGAAAAGTATGGAGAAAGCGAAGAATGAAAGACTGGAGGCACAGGTGCTGAGGAGAATTGATTTCTGCAAGAATAACCAACATCTCCACCCCATTCAGCAATAGAGAAAGAACTTTCACATAATATTACCTCCAGCCCTCCCACCAGAAAAGGAAGCTATATACTCATTTCTATGAAGGAGACGTTAGATAAAGGCAATTAGGTGGCTTGCCCAAGGTCACAGAGCTGGTTAGTTGGAAACATGTTCAGATCTTAAAATCAGAATTTCACTAACTCAATTTCCTGCTTTTTTCTACTCCGACAATCTTTAGAGTTACAACAGGCTGTAGAGAGACAAGAGAATGTTACTCCTGGATCTGCTGAATCACTTACCAGGTTAGATCTGTTTCTAAGCTTTCCCTTCTCAACCTTGATTCATTCATGCGTTCAGTAAATAAAGACTGAGCCTGAATCACTGCTGGAGGTTGTTCTGAAAACTGGACTGGAGGCAAGGGGGAGCTTTCATCTTGGTGGCCAATTTCAACTAGCCCCCTTGCAGACAGTCACACCCTGACCATGGGATCTAAAGTAGCCCCCAGCATCTTTTTCCAATCTAATTTAATTTTCCCATGATGTAGTTGACCCTCAGCATCCATAGGGAGTTAATTCCAAGATGAATGAATCTCTTTCAATCTCCTTATATAAAATGATAGATTATGCACATAACCTATGACTATTCTTCTTAATATTTAAAATCATCTCTAGATCACTTATAATACCTACAACAATGTAAATATATAAGATGCTTATTCTACTGTCTTGCCCAAATAATCCAAGCAGTAGCAAAATCTGGTTGAATCTCAAGATGTGGAACATACTGGTAAAAAAGGGCTGATTTTACTTAAAATGATCACAAACCACACAATTCACGTTTTTTTTGTTGTTGTTGTTTTGTTTTTTTTTACTATTTTACAGCTTGTGTCCCTTTCAAGAAAATGAGGTACTTCTAGAAAGACTCAGCCTTATTCAAAGCTGTCCCTCCAAAAGTAAAATAGCTTCTATACAAATAAGTACTTGATAAACATTTGTCCAGTAAATGACCCTGGAGAGCAAAGAGTTCTTTGTTTCCAGTGTCTACTAGGTATTCAAAATAATCTGAAGCCACTTATTAAAATCATATCACTAAATCAGAATTATAAAAGCAAAAATAGAAATATATATAGGACAAAGTAATTGATAATAGTGAAGAAAGTACTTCAGAGAATTAGAGCTCAATTTGAAATTCCTTTATCCTGTTGCCATTAAATGCAAGAGCCAAGACCATCTTGTGACACTAAAAGGCTGCAAATGTAAAATGTATAAAAAGAAATACATTTTAAGGGGGCATATAATCTACCTGTGGAATTCATAGCCGCAGGATGTTATTGAGGCAAATAGTCTAGCAAGATTCAAGAAAGGATTAGACATTTATATGAATAGAAATAATATTGGCAGTTACACTAACTAGGTTAAAAAGTTACAAGGCATGTCCGTCCTGGGCTCCAGGGCATAACTGTTCGCCTGCAGAAGGAATTTCCCCCTGTTGATAGGGCAGCGCATAATTGGACAGCTGCATGGTGGCTTGTATTTTTGCCGTCTTCTGTAACATAGGCATAGACTACTGCCCAGGGGAAGTTCCTGGACTAGACGACCCAGTGACCTCTAAATATGACATTTCTGTCTCCTTGGCGCACAAACCTGAATGGGACATAGAGTATAAGGGAAGTCCTTCAAAATTTGAAGCTGAGAATTTTTTGATTTTAGAAAACAAATGCTAACAATAATTTCCTTCTTTTGGATGATGAAAATATTTCAGGGTTATACCCAGGCCATAATCATCATAGCAACATAGTCAACCACACTGGGAGGTTTCCCAGGACCTTTCCAGATCTCAGCACATCGCAGCCACTGTCAATCTCACACCAAGACATGGTCACCTGTTTATTTGTGTCCATCTAACCCTCTACCTTATGTGTAGGATTAAAAAACATACTGAATATTTAAATTTTTAAAAATTTCTTACAGCAAAAGGCACATTATCTTTAGTCCTCAAAATACTTCCCTTTGTTGTAAATGCATTTTTTCCATCATTCTTGGAACTTTCTGAAGTAGTTCCAGAGGTCGTCTACAGAGAGTCTTTCTATGGCTACCTCAATGTCTTAAATCATTTAACCACGTTAATGGGCAATTTCTATCAAATAAAAAAATTACAAGTGTGTCCCCTTTCATTTTACTCACCAAGTTTGACACTGTGTGACTTCTGGCTCTGCCTCAAAGTCAAAATGACCATAAAATCTAGGCACTTTGAATTGCTTCAGAACCCTCAACAGACAACTAAAGAGCCCCATGGAAGAGGACCTCCAGAACTGCTTTCAGAAAGTGGTCAGTGGAACAAATATGTAGGAAGCAGGCGACGTGGTCTTCAGGGGGTGATTAATGGCAGTGTGTCTTTTACCATGATGCATTTTAACAAATTAAACGTCCATGGGGCTAGAGGTTTAGCTCAGCGGCATAAGTGCCTGCCTTGCAAGCAGGCAGTCGTGAGTTCGATCCCTGGTACTGGTAAAAACGAAAAAGACAAAAAAAAAAAAAAAAAAAAAAAAAATTAAACATCCACACTATGGTCTGATCACACCTCATGGGTGTGTAATGAACGTTCACCCCTGCAGGCGTGGAAAGGAAAGCTGCTTGTAATACCATCCATTCACCTCGCTAAGCTTTTCTCTGAGTCACGGACCCGCCATGCTGCAGGCACAGCCTTCGACTCTTGCTGAGGGGTGGCGTGCATTATTTCCACTTTAACATGGAAAACCTAAAAGGCGATTTTTAGCCATGTATCTGGTATTTTTTAAATGCTGAAGTTAAATGATGCATTATAGTTTCAGTCGTTACTTATCCAGGTGTAGATGACATTCTAGAAAAATCCACACTCAAATGATTAGAAAATGGCAGGCACCGAACTAGGCTATAAAATAAATTCTGCAAAGCAAAACAGAAAAAGACAGACTAATTTAAATCCTCAGGCCAGGAGTGGATTTAAAAGATTTCTAACATTCTTGAATGAAAGCAAATAGATATATTGCAAGATGCTGTTAATATATGTTTTACTGCAGAGTAGAAAAGTCCAAAGATTCCATTAATATTTTCAGGTGAACTCTTACAAACGAAGTTAACAAACACTGATGTAGGCCTGAGTCTAAAAGAAAATTCTCAATCAAACCTTGAGGAAGTTATTTCAAAATCCTTCGGTTCTATAAGTAAGATTCATTCCTCTGGATTGTTCCTGAATTGGCAGAATATCAGTGGGATTCTCTGAGCTAAAGATCATTCATGGAGTGCTTAATTCTCATCCGGAGGCAAAACTTTGAAACGTTTAAGTCTTGTTGCAGATGCGACCTGCTATTTCATTAACAGCTTGCAGGCATATTTGCCTATTTTGTCTCAATATAAGATGCTTTGTTTGTTTTTTCACGTGCTTTTCATAAGAATATAGCTTGTCAGATACATGTTTTCTGGTATAGGCTATGAGGGAGAGTTATTGCTTGTTTCTCTTTTACATAAATCTAATAGCATATTATAAGGAATTACAAGTTATTAGAAGTAAAGGGTATAAGATCTGTAGTCAAAATGGTGTTGACATCTCACACTGACAGTATGATTTAAGATAAACCAACTAATCTTTCTATTCCTCTGCTTTCTCATCTGTAAAATGGACATATACTAATTTCTACAACACAAAGCCCATGTACACACTACATGAGCCAATGCCACTAAAGCACTGTCATATATTCCATCAACAAATGTTAATTATTATGATCATACATACTTTGTATGTTTATAAGCATTGGGAGTCATGTCCCATCTCCCCATCACTGCGAGTTCTCAGATATTTTTGTGTCTCCTTTTGCAAATTACCAGTGAGTCTCCAGAAGGGCTGTTCCACATACCTTATCACAGCAACACAAGTGTCCATCTCATCACCCCTTGGAAGACAATGAGCGTAAAGGTAACAGGAAGTAGAGAGGTCGATCTTTCTCTAATGCAAAGGGGACAAAGAGACAGAGGAAGGCAGAGGAGAGAAATGGGGTGAAAAAAGGAATTAAAATGTGTTATGTACCTGCACCAACCCCAACAAGGAAGGTAAACATTATGTACTGCAAGCATGTACTAATAAAAAAATTGAAAATACCAAGAAAAATAAGGAGGAAAAAGGGAGGAAAAAAAAGAAAAAAGAAAGTAAAAAATTTTAAAGTGTACCAGCACAAATTTGCATTTTCAGATATAGGATCAGGGGAAATTCTGTGACTTTTTCTTGGGGTACCTAGGATCAAACGCAGAACTTTGGGCAAGCAAGGGAAGCGGTCTATCACGGAGCTTCAGTCCCAGCCCTCAAAATTCTATCAATAGTGCAAATTTCTGTCCTGTTACAAAACATCAGTACCTTCCAGGTGCTTCCTCCAAGTTAACTGTGCTTCAATACTCAAAAACCTTATCCTTGATTGGCTGACTGAAGTTGCAGAGGAGAAAAATGACTTCCTGGTTTTCTGACATCTGATGTCCAGTTGTCCCATAAAAGCCAGCGCCCAACTGCCCGCCAAGCAGTGTAAACATAGTCTACACACGATCGTTCCCAGGGGAAATGGGACTTACAAGGCCAAATACAAACATTCTCTCGTAAGGTGAATTAATGCCGAGTGACCCAGCCCACATTTGACCACAGCTCACAGGAAGTGTAAACCAATGAGACCCAGCACCTGAGCTGTGAAAGGGATAATCTGTGGAGGAACAGTTGGTTTGTGCAGCTTTTCAAGAGACCTAATAATACCTGGTTTTGTGGGAAGAGAAAACAAAAAGAGAAGAAAGGCAGTGCTTTGGCCTTTGGTATCAAACTTACCACATGAGAAAGGGGAGAGCCTGTCAATGTCGAAATGGAAATTTTCTAATTGGAGGCAACAAAGTGAATGTTTTTTTCCGCACATTTTCCATACCAATGGCTGTAGAAAGAAGTCTAGAGGAGAGGACCAAAAAGTCATCTGAGGTCTGTACAAGCATTGTTCTTATAAAAAGATTTCTGGCCTGCCTGCTCATTCAAGCAAAAATCTGATGAGAAATCTAAGTGGACATGGCTGGTGAGGTGGATCAGCTGCTTCCCACCTCCATTATAATGAAGTACTCCCTGAAAGGACTCCAATCATAGCTGAGCTCCTTTGGCTCTGCAGATGGTACAACACTTTTAGTAGACCCAAGAATCTGGGGCTAGCTAAGCAGGTTGAGAGGACTGGTTGTACCAAGGTGGTGACCACTGGCTCCATGGATGTTTCTGCGCCTGAGTCTGAAGCACACTTAGAGCCAGGCAACATGGCGAAAGGAACAAAGACTCCCTTCACTTCTTGCCTGGGTGACTCCATGCAAGAGAGCACTGAGTCTTTCTAGACCTCTGCTCTTAGATCTGAGAAATGGAGATACTAACACCTGCTCTGTAGGGTTATAAGAAGCTAGCAGCGACAGCTCTTGGTACATAAGCATGTGTGATATGTATGCACACACATATACACACACTTGAGTTTTTGAAAATCAGTTCCTCTTCTTCATCTTTATAGCTCGCCAGACAATTTTTGAAAAGTCAGTCAAGAAAGGAAGGAAAGAAACATATCTTTTTTTTTTCTAAGAAGAAAGAGCAATTAAACATCAAATATTAACTGCTCCTGGGAGTAAATTTTTTTAATGGGTTAAAGGCTTGGCCATTATAGGCCTCCACTATGTAATTTCTAAGAAAAAACCAGGTAATATATTTTTCTAAATGAAGTGGAAGATAAAATGCTAGAACCAATGTATCCATTCAGAAAGCACTTTTTTATCCATTTTCCACAGCCTCCCAATTGCATCATGCTTTTAAGAGACCCAATTTGTTTAACAGCACTTTATTTCAAACCTTCACTTGTGAAAAGCATTGATTTATGATGGGGCTGATTAAAGCAATGGTGTCTTAAGCAATAATGATTTCAATTATAGGACTTCCACTGCTGTGCATTATTCTGATTTTCTCTCCATTCTTTCCACATTTTTATTCACTAAAGAGGGGACATGAGTAGATGATGTAATTTTGAAAAGTCCCTGGACAAATTTAATATCAGAAAGAAATGTATAGACAGATAGACTGATGTAGCTTTTTTGATTATGTGAATGTATTGTATTTTAATACGCTCTGACAAACTGGTGAACAGCTCCCTGATGAGCTCCTATCTGATATCATTAGGGTTATTTAGTGCTTGGATTCTGCTCAGTTCCCACAGGAACTACTCAGAAGTAGCAAGAATGTGCACACTAGATTCACTCCCAGTCTAGGACTTCAGTCTCACTTTCTCTTTTTGTAGGGCTGGAGAAAATCATTACATTCATTTACTCATTAAAATCCAACAACCATCGAAACAAATATCAGATAGAGTCACTCAATCCTAAGGGCTTGTGTTACGCATGTTTTGTTGCTCTGACAAAATACTTAGAAAAATCATCTTTTAAAGAAGAAAGTTTTGGGGCAGGGATTTAGCTCAGCAGCATAAGCACTTGCCTGGCAAGTGTAAGGTCATGAGTTCAATCCCTGATACAAAAAAAAAGAAGAAGAAAGTTTTATCTTGGCTCACCGTTCCAAAGGTTTCAGGCCATGGTCTCTCAGTTCTGCTGCTTTGGCCCGAGGGTGCATCACAGTACATCACGGCAGGAGTGCATGATAGCAGATACCTCTTCGCCTCATAGCTGTTGAAAACCAAAAGAGAAAGAAAGACATAAAGAAGCCAAGCTCCCAAATACCTTTTCAAGGGCATGTATTCAGTGACCTAAATTCCTTCTTCTGGGCAGCAGCTCTTAAAGTTTCTGCTTCTGTCCACTAGTACTAGAGGCTGTGGACAAAGCCTTCTATCCATGAGTCTTTGGTCCAGTTATACTTTGTAATGGTGGCAGACAGTCAAAGACCCCTTTCTGATGGGAGCAGCTACTCTTGGATCTTAGCTATTTGTTACCAAGGAGCTAGAGGAACCAAACAGTACCACAACATCAGATGTTTCAAAGAAATCCAAAAATTCATAACTTTTAATGTGCAGTTGAAGTTTCTTAATTTTTAAAGGCTAGAGAGGCATTGGGAAAATCCAGCCTGCAGCCTGTCTCTATCAGGCTTTCTGTTTGGTGCATAAGTGATCAAGCTTGTAGTTATTAGAAAGATGTGCCACCGTGCAACACTCAGCTGTATAATAATTTTAAAAATTAAAGAAATATTTTTATCCTTTTTCAGGAATACTTGATGAGCACCTATTATGCACTAATAATTGTAGTGTTAGACACTGGTGATGCAAGGAAAAAAATGGTACTTATTAGCTACCTTCAAGGAGCTGACAGTCTAACACTTGTGTCTCTGAAGGATTTCAGGTTTTATAACCTTAAGGATAAATGCAATCTAGCATTGAAGCTCGAGCTATCACATTGCTTACCCTTCAAGTAAATTACTTTCCCCCTATACTCTGATTTGAAGCTCCATTTTAATTTGAGAACTAATCCTTTGAATGTCAAAGTCCACAAAGGATAAATTCCCAGTAAGGTCTTCAACAGCAACTGGGAAAAAATTCCAATCTCACCTTGATAAAGTTTTTCTCCATCAAATCAATGTTACAAATTACTTGATTAGACACTTCTGTTAACCACGCCCTTTAATGATTTAAATCTAGCCCTTAATCTCAAGTATTCTGTGCTCCTATGGTTTTCATAAAAGCTAAATAGCTAAAGCAATATACTTTAATCTACCTAGACTATCACCTTAACAGGTTTTTAAATTTTTGAAAGAAAAGAAACCCTATGATACAACTGAGGGCATTCAAATTAAGCTATTGAATTCCTGACTTAGTAGTTGAAAAATGATGTACCAATTGCATTACAGGAGAAATAAGATCAAAGTTAAGATTCTTTCTTTGCAAATTTTGTTATTACTTCTCAGGCTCCTTGCAATGCTTTCGAAATATTTCCATTGAATTGCAGGTGGATGCTTTGCCTTCTCCTGTAAATACGTGATTGCCTTCCGTTTGACTTTCTGAAAGTTCTTCAATGTCAGTGAGCAAAATTTGACCTGAAGGAGGCAGAACAGGTGGAGCACTGTTCTGAGAACTTGGCATTGGACTGATTTAAACACAACATCTTACCCATTCTGTACCTTAACAACAGGAAGAAGACCTGATCTCCTTCTTTGTACATAATTTGAATCCAAACTTCAGCGCGTAGGTTCTTTGTTTTTCCTTTCTTCTTATCCCCTCCCTCTAGCAGCCTGGTGAGCTTCTTCCCAGCATGCAATAATTCACAAGCCACAGGTTCTTCCTGCTTGGGCTCTGGAGGCTACAGATCCTCTGAACCTTCTTACTGTTTTATATGGAGGCAATTCTCAAGAGGTCTTTGACTTCTTTATTAGAAGCTTCTTGCGTGAGTCTTTTCTAGACCCTTCGTGTGACAAAGGAAAAAGCAAAGGATGAAGGAGGGAAGTGACTTGCCCAGGGCCTCAGCTGGTCCCTGAGACCTCAGTCTAACACTGATTCTACTTTTTCTAATAGCTGTCATGACTAACTGTTCTCAAACTGGAATTCTACCCAAGTTTCACCGTTCAAACAAACTTACTGCAGTTTGAGCATGCCCAGTCTGAAAATCTGAAATTCAAACTGCTCCTAGATCCAAAATGTTTTCACACTAATGGATGCCACAAGTACAGCATTCCACACCAGACCTCACGGACCAGAGCATGGTCAAAACATGAGTGCACAAAAAATGTAAAAAAATAATAATAATTATCCACAATCTTTGTGTATAAGATGTATTTAGGGCTGGGAATGTAGCTCAGTGACATAAATGCCTGCCTGTCAAGTGCAAGGTCCTGAGTTCAATTCCAAGTACAAAAAAAAAAAAAAAAAAAAAAGATGTATATAAAACAAATGAATTTTATGTTTCTACTTAGGTTCTATCACCAGGAAATCTCATTATTTATATGCAAATATTCCAAAAGTCTAAAAATATGTGCAACTCAAAATATTTGTCATCCCACACAGTTCAGATAAGGGATACTCCTAACCAGATGTGGTGGTGCATGCCTGTAATCTCAGTACTCAGGAGGCTGAGGTGGGAGGATTGCCATGAGTTTCAGGATAACCTGGGCTGCATAGTGAGTTCAAGTCCAGCTTTAAAACCCTGTATCAAATCACACACACACACACACAATGGATACTCAGATAAAAATACTGATGAAATGGGAGGCTGTAGCTCAGTGGTAGAGTGCTCGCTTAGCATATAGGAAGCCCTGGGTTCAATCCTTAGTAGGGGAAAAGAGATGAAGAAACATTGATAACCCCTTTGTAGCTCTATGTACCAAGTGCTACACCCATCTCTAGACTCACAATGAAAGAGAAGGATTCTAACCTTGATCCAATCACCAACTAGAGATCCCGCCTCAGAGAGTCTCTGTACAGAGCAACCACGGACTAAACATCTCCTAGAAAACAACACCTCAACTCTTACTTTAACAAATGCAAAATATGAGGCCCAGGGTGGCTTTGGAGCCAGTTCATGCTACAAGACAGTCTAGAAACTGTGATTTTGACTACTGAGTCCAATTAATTTTTTTATTTCAGTAAGTTCATTTAATTCATAACACAGCCTTAGTGGGGGTGGAAATCTTGTTTGAAGTTTCATTTTAATTTGAGCACTATTCCTTTGAATACCAAATGCACACAAGACATATATACCCATTAAAATCACCAACAGCAATGGACAGTATCCCCTGGGTCCCAGAGTTTATAGACATGTGCCTGTAACACCACAGAGCCTGGGATAGTATGCATGGCAGTAGCACACACCAATCTCTGACATATTAGGGCAAACTCAAAGACCTGGAGTGATAAGCTAAGGTTAACAGAGACACTAGAATTAGCATTTGCACACCATCGTGCTAATGGAATGTTTAGGTCTACCACACATGTATTTTTAAAGACTAGTCAGAGTTTGTATGTATTTCCCATGACCCTGTAGATCAATAGTGCTCCATAATCTTAGCTGAAGCTACAAATGGCAACTGGGCACATTTTAAAAAGTAACTTAGATCTTTTATTTTTCTCTTTCTAAATGTGGTCTTCCAGGAAGCTGCCTCTGGACATAACTATAGAAAATTAACACAATAAGTAAAGCATTATAGAACAGCTATTAACTGATTACACTAATAAAAACCAAATGGGGGCCTTAATTCTGCCCCTCTGGGAAAGCAGGACAGATAAAATAAACAATAGGAAAAAATACAGAATAAAAGATAATTGATTTTAAACAATAATAACACTAATAATATCCTACCGTGGCTTAAAAAAAAAAAAACCTTGACTTTTCTTTGGATATGACAGAAGAAAGCTCTAATTCAGCCTCAAAACCTAAGCATGATGTTTATAGGGGTGCTCTCCAGGCAAACAAATTGGAAAAACTAAGGAGTGCTGGCAAGGTTTTCAAATGCCAGGCTCCTGGCTACATGATTCCATTTAGTGCATCATCAAAATGCCTCCCCCAGAGGACAGCAGGACCTCACCATCCATAGCACCAGTCCCATCACAGTGGGACAGGAAGTGTGGTCCAGGGAAAATGTGCAGTGAAGGACAAGGCCAAGCCAGACAGAGAGAGAAGAAAACTAAGAGTATCCATCATCTTGAGCAGAAGTTGGGGCCCTCTCACCCCACCCCCAGTACAGTATTTTCCATTGGATAACTCCTGAGATTCTTGAGCTTGTTTAGGGCTAGGGTAGAAAGTCATGGTAATAAAAGGGTCCTTGCTTTGCACTCACTATGGAGAATGTGGCCCATATGCCTGCCTCTGAACCTAATAGACACAAGAGTAAATGCCTTGTAGGTGACAAGTGTCAGGCTAATTGTTCTGGAGACCTTGTCTCTAACTCTCTCATTGCCTCACAGTTTGGAGGTGATGATGCTGGGGGGTGGCTCACAATGATCTGATCAGCCCCAAAGGCACTGGCCATCCTGCTTCCCATTGGCAACCCCTGAGCTGCTTCTAACTTGTTCCTGTACATTCTTCTTTTCTCATAATGCTTTAACCATCGAACCCATGGAACCAATCATTTTTGCATGGAAACTGCAAAGCCTCAGGTTATTTTTACTTCCCACTGGCAAAAAGTCAGCACATTCAAATGAAATGATAATTTCTGCGTGCGAAAATAGTTTAGCATTTTCTTAAAACACAAAAGTAAAAATAATCTTATGCAAGACACTAACTTTTTAAGTTGGCAAGAAATAGCTGGGTACTTTCACATGATTTACTGAGTAAAATGAGGGCAATTGTGATTTTTAATGCGTTGGTCTAAGAATCAAAGGAAAATTCTACAGTCAGTAAACAGTGAGTGTTTAGACTTGAAAAAAAATTGATATATATACAGGGTTTGTGTGTAGAGACAGAAAATATTTTTTATTATAAAAAGGGTAACATTTATTCAGACCTTGGTAGGTTTGAGAGACACACAATGCAGACAGAAAGTTCTAGAAAGAAATTGGACCCCCAAATTACCTAAAATCTCAAACTAACCAAACATGCAATGTATTCAAGCCTTCATATTTCATAGTAAAATATCAGAGGCATTCCCATGAAGGAATATCTTTAAATGATTTAGGAGCTCTAGACTTCTGCAATAAGATGGGAAAAAATGAACAAATTACATAACTTAGAGAAGGGGCAGAAAAGATTATTTGCAAATGAGAATAATATCGGCCTAGATAACTCAAAAAAATCGAACTCTCAGATTGTTTGAACATTAAAAAGCAGACGAGGGACAAATGCAAAGCAAGAAATTAATGAATAACTTTTTCCAATAAGCAGTTAAAAATATAAATAGGAAAATTGCATTCACAAACAGCGTTAAATAAATGTGAGGCTGCACAGAGAAATGATATGAAGAAATTCTAACTTTATAGGAGATCATATGCAAAGAAAAGTGTGAAACCATGACTTATTTTTGCATGAGAAAATCTAATACCAAAAGGCTTCAAATTCATATATATATATATATATATAAAATACAAATTAATATATATAATACATATAATATATATTCATTTTGAACTTGAGTTCTTATTAAATAACAAGGAGGGAACACTACCCAGAAAACTAATTTTAATGAGAAAGACCTTGCATTATGAGATATGCAGGCAACTTCTTAAATTATAATAATAAAAAGAGGGCTGGGGAAAGTGACAGAGGCAAAAAGATAATAAAATAAATTTAAAATCACAAAATGCTGCATATACATAACTACAATGCTTAGATCAGTTAGGAAAAGGGGTTTACTAAATGTTTTATAAGCAACCATACGAAACAAAATAAAGCCCTGAGAAATGAGATCTAAATGTTTTTTAAAAACAAAAAGTCAAAAGTCATTAGTAGAAAATGTAGGTTAATGTTTATCTCACCCTGGGGTGTTCAAAACATTTCTAAACATAAAAGCAGAAGAAAGAATAAAGAAAAAGATTTATAAACGTAAATTCAGAAACGCATGCATGAATGCACTGACAACTCAAAACCAATGACGGTCTGCAAAGTGTGACAGTGAAAGAGTTAATAAATTTGAGCTAAAAAAACTTTTATAATTTAATGGAATAATCAGCGGACACTTTCATAAAACCACATGCAAACGTTAAATAAGTGAAACTAAAAATAAATATGTAAATCACATATACACAAAACAAGACACATTATCAAGAAAGGTGAAGAAAGATCACATCACAGTAATCAAAAGAATATAAATCACAGTGGGACACCAAGTTTCTTATTTTGAGATGAGTTAATATTATTTGGGGAGATCTGCATTTTCATTCACTGTGAGTGGGAATATAAATTGGCATAAATAAATATTTTAGGGGGCAGCTCTGCAAATGTACCAAACATAAAATAAAATAAAGGCTTTGCCTGGGAGTTATCACTTATTGCAATTTATCTAAAGGAAATACAGAGACACATGAAGGTTTCTTAAAAGCAAAGGGCTACAAATAAAACAACCGTCCAATGACAGGTCAAAGGCATCGCAGTTCCTACCTACAGGAACTTGGAATTCGGACATAAAACCCAAAGGGTTCTCACAATGGAAGTCCAATAGTTCTGCTGCCTTGTCCAGTGGGAATAGTAGCTTACAAAACAGTGGACCGCAGCAGGGCCTCAGTCTTACTGTTCAAATACACAAATAGGTGTGTGGGGGAAAAACTGAAGCCAAAGATTAGGTGATGTAAATCCAGGCTCCAGCAAGGGCTGCTTTCAGAGATCAGAGCCCATTTTCATTCGCTTCATCCCGCTTGTCCATCATTCCCAAACGTTCTCGTGAACCTTTACACTTTTTGCAACCAGGAGAAGAGAATTTTTCCTGTGTGTTTAAATCCTAGTTTGCTGGAAGCGTGTCAGCAGAAGGTGGGTTGCAT